CACACCCCCCGGCCCCGCCTCCCGGCCCCGCACTGGCCTTCCCGCGGGGGAGGCTCTGCTTAGCCCCTCAGGGGCATCCTAAGCCCGCAAACCGTGCGGTGCCACATCAAAACTGCGGGTGGTGGCAGCTGGCTTCTAGCCTCGCCGAAATAAAACTCTCAAGCCTGATAAGAGAAAATTCATGAATGGGGAAGTTTAATCCGTTTAAGAGGAGCTCTGTCACGATGTTTTCAAGTTTACTACGGATTTAAAGCGTAATTCACCTTTCTGAAGCGGACTGGGTTGAGATTCAGTCTTCCAAAGGTCTGCCACAAGACCTGCTGGCAGATCTGACATGTCTCTTTCTAGAGAAACCCTACAAATAATCCCCAACGTCTTTGGATGAACTCAGACTGAAGTTTACACTCTCTAAAGCTAATTATGTGATTGTATTGCTTATACAAACCCCTCGATTTTTCTGGTTCTGTTTTGTTTGTATTGGAAATGCAGCAGTAGCTGCTGTATTAGTCTTTTCTTCTTTTCCCTTGTTTTGAAAGGTAAAAAATAGTTTTAAACAGAGTGTCTTGATGGATTACCCAGATTTAGGGCAGCAAAATCCTTGAGTGATTAGAACTCTGGATAACCCAGGTGTGAATTTACAGATTGAGAATTACTTTTGAAGTTTTGTATACTGTGCGCTACAAACGACATTAACACACTGTTCTTCATTTGACTCTTGCTGCAGCTGTACTCTCTGAGAGGCTTTTCATAGGTTTAATTTACCTTTTTAATCCAGTATCTCACTTTGATGTGGGGTACAGGGTAAATCTTTCCATTTGGAGTTCTGTGTACCTGTGGTGAATAATAAAATATCTAATGAATAAAGTCTTTCTAATGAGATCAGATGTATGGTGAGGAAAGGCCACTCCCCACTCCTCCCCTCTTCCTTTCAGTCAAAGGAGGGAAAAAACCAACGTGTCTGAAAAGACAGCAGTGCCTCCCAGGCCAGCAAGTTTTAGAAGAACCAGAAATTAAGGCTTTCAAAGCAAAAGCAGTATTACAAAGTTTAAAACAAAGTTTAGACAATTGCCTAAAACTTCAGCTCCCATTAGTACTGCCCTTTTTTGAGGCAAGTGATAGCACAGTGAGTACTGGCAGTGACGCACAAGCTGGTCAGACTCTGAACTCAAGATGTCCCGAAATGAGGTAGCTCTTCTGCAAGACTGTGGGGCCTGGGTCTAACCTGTGGGGCTGAGCCCCCCAGCCGCACCACTGAGAGCCCAGCTGAGCTGTAGGGTGCTCGAGAGTGAGCACTGCTTTCCCCACCTGCAAATAAAACACACAGGCATCAACCCAGAGGGACTTTAAGGGTGGTGGGGGAGGCAGAGGAGGCAGAGAAAGGCTCTTTTGACCCTTGGACCCTTGGCTGCCGCCTCCTTCTCCTGCCCTGCCCAGCCCACCCCAGGCCAGGATTGGAGATGCTCCGCTCGCAAGCAGGCTGATTTGGCACCACTAACGCGTGCTCAGCCCCAGGCAGGTTTAGAGCTTAATTCAGCATTTTGTGAGCGGAGATGGAGGTGGTCGTCACCATCCGGGCAGCTGGGGTGTCCGTGCTGAGAGTAGTGTGGCCAGCAGGAGTAGGGAAGTGATCGTGCCCCTGTACTCGGCACTGGTGAGGCCGCACCGCGAATCCTGTGTTTACTTTTGGACCCCTCACTACAAGAAGGATGCTGAGGTGCTGGAGCGTGTCCAGAGAAGGGCAACGAAGCTGGTGGAAGGTCTGGACAACAAGTCTTATGGGGAGCAGCTGAGGGAACTGGGGTTGTTCAGACTGGAGAAGAGGAGGCTGAGGGGAGACCTTATCACTCTCTGCAACTACCTGAAAGCGGGTTGTGGTGAGGTGGGTGTTGGTCTCTTCTCCCAAGTAACTAGTGATAGGACGAGAGGAAATGGCCTCAAGTTGCGCCAGGGGAGGTTTAGATTGGATGTTAGGAAAAATTTCTTCACTGAGAGGGTGGTCAGGCATTGGAACAGGCTGCCCAGGGAAGTGGTGGAGTCACCATCTCTGGAAGTGTTCAAAAAATGTGTGGATGTGGCGCTTCAGGACATGGTTTAGGGGACATGGTGGCGTTGAGTTAATGGTTGGACTTGGTGATCTTGAAGGTCCTTTCGAACCTTAGTGATTTTGTGAGAGCTGCCTGGCAGGTCTGCCACTCTGGCTCCTCCTCAAGCCTTTTGCTGCTCTGATCTGGGGGGCCGGCTGGCCACCAGGCAAGACGAAGCCCCCCATGACATCTCCAGGCACGGCGCCCTTGCTGTTCTTCTTGACAGGAGACGAGTGGCAGGCAGGAGCCCTTCCCCACAGAGCAGGAATCCCAAAGGGAGTCCTTTGCGTTTCGTGGGAATACGTAAACTCGTCCCTCATTCCCCCGCTGCCTGCCCCACGTCTGGTGGGCGCTGCTTCCCAGGGAGCTTCCCCCGGGCTTGGTGCAGCCATCTCGGCATGCTTTCCTGCCAGGCCTCGATACGCAGATGCTGGTGCTGGTAACACCTGCGAGGACATCCAGAAACATGTTTGCTTGGGCAACCAGTACCAGGTGTCACTTTCCTTGTGCTTCAGTACAATACTTCCCTAGTAATTCTTCCCTTAGAAATTAGCTAAGGGGGATTTTATCCAGGAAAAGCTTTTAAAGCTCAGCCCTCCACTTCTGCAGCCCTTATGGTGGGAGAAATCAGCTCTGGGAGAGGAGGGGACAGGCGGTGGGGGCAGGACCCTCTTCAGCATCCCTGTTTAAATCACAGCCTGCCTCGTGCTACGCATGAACAGCCGTCTTTTTGTTCTTCTCCTTTTTGGCTGTATAGGTCACTTCTCCTCATGCAGCTGGGTAATAGTCTTATGGCAGCTTCAAGACCTGTGCATGGGGAAAAGTTTGTTTAAAAAAAAAAAAAAAAAAATGCTTTCAGCGGCGCTTAGCTTCCAGAAATAGGAGAGGGCTCACGCTACGTGACTAGACAGCATTACGTGAACCATCTGCAAGTACTTCATGGCCCAGAAGCCACAGTTTAAAACTTCTTATGCAGAGCTGACCATAGGAAATTCTTACAGAACAGAAAAATATACCAGAGCCTCCATGTCCTGTTCATAACCAGATGGCTCCAGTGTAGTGTGGCGATCGGGTTTTTAAATCCACAGTGATAGTAACAGAAAATACAGATTACCAGTGCTTCTAAGGTGGTTATTCTGGATTGTTGCCTATGCAAAGATTTTGTAAGCCTTTGGGTCACGATACACAACAGTTCGGTTTATAGTAACTTAAAAAAAAGTTGCAATTTAGAACTGTCATTTTAATGAAGAAGCTGTTGGAGCTAAGTTAACTCTCCTAAAAGCTGGGATGATGACCAGATTTACTAGGTTTTTATTAATGGCACTGCTTTTAAATGACTGCATAACACTGACCAACTAATAACCTTATCATTCAGTGCACTTGATGTACTTGATAATAACTATCTCGTTGTGGGTGCATAATTCACCTATGAAATATTGAGGAAGACTATGTTTGTGAATCATAATGAGATATCCAGATTAAAATACAAAATACAATTTATTAGTGAATAGTTACCCATCGGATGTGTATACAATTCATTTTTCTTTCAGTCAGGCACTGTCTTGATTCCTGTTTGTGGAATAAAGAAACACAAAACCCTCTCTAAAGGTGAACGAACCTTTAGAGAACCGAATATTCACGGGTTTTTTTTTTTTGCTAGTACAACTTCAACAGCATGGCATAGTGTACTATGGGTTTTTTTCTCTTAACTTGCCAACTGCCAGCTCTGCATTTCAGGTCAGCTGCTTTGGAGTTGGGTCTCCTACTCTTGTTCTGCAAATCTGTGAAACTGGGGAGACTGGCTGGGTGTTTTGAACAGCCAGGGAAGATATTTACTTATTTTTAAATTTATTTTTAAATTAAGTGTGAGTACTTAATTCAGTGACACCCGTTTGATCTATGCAAGGAGGTAGTTTAAAATTATAACCCACAGAATTCTCCCACTATTCCTATGATCGATCCGCATTTGTTTCACCTTCAGGTATCGCCTCGCAGAAAACCATGGGCAATTTCAAAGGGCACGCCCTCCCTGGAAGCTTTTTCCTTCTTTTTGGCTTGTGGTGGTCAGTGAAATATCCACTGAAGTATGCCTGTCGAAAAAACAAGAACGTTTGCTACCTTGGTTCCAGGGCGGGATTTCAGCGCCTGGAGTTTGTTGAGGGAATCATCAAAGCTGCCTTTGCCCTGATCGGTAAGTAAGGTGGACATGGGACAGGCAACAAAAAGGCTGTGCCTTTTAACACTTTATTTCTTTTTTTAAATTTTGTTCTCTGGTAAAACATATCCGATGATTGTGTTTTGGTATTTTGTCCTTTAAACACCATGAACCTAAGAACTAGTGGGGCTACTGCTATTAATTATAAGGTTAGGACTGTAACATGGTTTCCGTCAATAGCACTCTCCTGGAGCATCTTTAAGGTCTCCTGACCACCTCACAGCTGGTCCATCTGAGTGTTCATGTGCTGTTCACTACTTCAGGGAGGGAGAGAAGACATTTGGGCAAGGGGCACTCACATGCAGACTGGGAGCACCAGATTGTGGAGGCATGGCTCCTCTGTTTTGAAACCAGCCATCTCATGTGTTGGTAGTCTCCACTGAGTTATTGATAAAATATGTGAATGCAGATGTTTCTTCATGAATGTCATTCAGAAGTGAAAATATTCACAAAGACTGAACTCCAGATCTTATTGCTGCAGGACTGCTGCATCGGGGTGGGGTGGGGGGGCTGTTTTTCCTCCCGTTCTGGAGTGGGCTGGCTGCAAACCCACGAGGAGGTTTAGTGAGCTGTGCAGCCGACTGGAAGTGCCTAGTTCTTGTTTGCATCCCAGCAGACTGTACGTTAGCAATTTACCTTTATGGCGTAAGTAAGCTAAATAACAGGCGACCCAAGGAGCTCAGCACATCTGCCTCTCAAGCTGAAAAAGGGTCTTAATTTTAAGCATTTTTAGATTTTTAGATTCTATTTATCTACTCTTCCCCAGATGCTCAGAGTTGCCTCGTTTGTAATCAAGGTGCAGGCTGTACCAAAACCTTGGTCTTTCTTTTCCTTCCCCTCTGGGACTTGTATCAGTTAAGGTACATCAGCACCAAAGTGATGTTGTGTGTACAGTATACACTTTGATATGCCTTAAAAAATTATCAAAACCTAAATAATAGAGTTCATTTTGAGGTGTGAGTGGGGACGTCTTTCCTACAAATCTCCCAGTCAGTGTCTAGAGGTAGTTGGGCAGCTAAAACACTCGTCTAGTGTTTTTATTTTCACTCTGAAGCAAAAAGCTATTATTTTAACGTATGGTAATTTCAACTCCAGTCAAAAAAGTGGACAAGAAAGCCTGGCAAGGACAAACAGTAAAAGCAGCAGAAGGAGTAAAACCTGCTGTTTCTGTGCTAGGAAAACTTGAAACAAAGGTGGATAAACACTGCATTTGCTCTGCAGCGTATCTACTTATACAGCAGGATGCTGGCCCACGCTTTATAAACAATATACTTAACGTTTTAAAAGCATAACATATTTTAAACCCTTCTCAAACTTCATTGATCATATAAAGTATCTAAAAGCAGCTCTCCCCTTGCTGGAGTACTGCAGCTAGTTAGCCAGACACCGAGGGGCCAAGGTAAGGGAGGCAGCGGAGCAGCAATTCGAATGCTAACTCGGTATACATTCTCATGGGACCTTTAATAACTCTGCATGGTGGGGGGGATTTCCTTTTATGGCTTTATAGAAAAAATCCCCTTTGAATTAAGAATCTGAACTCTGCCATCCTGCACATTGCAGGGGACTGAAATGGTAAATCTTTTGGGGACTTTAACATGTGCTATACTTGTGTTTGAACTGCTGGGAAAGGCAGCTGAAAAATTCAGTCAGAGGACTACTACAATACCAATTGTTTCCAAAAAAAAGAAAAAAAAAAGCAGCACAGAATAGCTGTCTCCATTTTCCCTGCTGGAAACTGCAAGATGCAAATAGTCCCCCCAGGAGTGGAGCTGAAGCCTGGTTTCCTCTGGCTTTCTCCTCTCCGGATTAAGTGACGCTTAATCTATGCTTGAGCTCACTCTGTGCTCTTTCAAAAAATCCCTCAGCAAAGAAACTTATTTCATTTCTCCTCCACCCACTGCCTATTTTCTTGAAAAATTTATACAAAATTAATACCTCTGAGGCCTCTGTGCATTTCCACTTGAATTTGGACAACGTGTTAAAAACTTTATTGGAATGGCGGAACAGGGCAGAAGGGAGCAAAACGCAGCCATCACCCAGCGCAACCCTCAGGCAGGCAGATAGCCTAAATCCCAAACTGGCTGGCGTTACGCTGCGTGGGGATATGTTGTTGCCTCTCTAATTTGTATAAAGACTTATCATCGGCCCATGCCTTAAGTACCAGGACAAATAGTTCTAGTTCTTTGTTTCCTGTGCAGGAATGGTGGCTGAGCAGTTTGTTCCCGACGGACCTCATCTGAAGTTGTACGATTACGAGGAGAAGCACTGGGATCACCTGATGAACTGGCAACACGCCACCATGTACCTCTTCTATGGGATTTCAGGGTTGGTTGACATTGTGGCTCATGGGACCGACGTGTTGCCAGCGGCCGTGGACAGGATGATGCTTTCCTTAGCAGCGTTCGTTGAAGGTCAGTTCACCTCGCCCGGTTAGAGGGGCATGTGGAACTCGCAGAGGGGTATCAGTCTTTGGTCTGGGAATTCAGCCTTAGAGAATGAGCCTCTGGGAGCTGGGCGTTTAAACTCCCTGAAACGCTTAAAAAAGGTCTGTTTTGGCCCTCCTGAAAATGCTGAGGGTTTGCCTGCGCTGCAGCCCAGAGCGTGATCACGCGCTGCCGGGGGGTACCTGTGCTTTCCGAACTGGCTCAGGTAGCAACAAAAATGTTACGGAAAGAGCAGCACAAGCCTGTTTCGGGTAAGTGCTCAGCAGCTCGGGCACTCGTGCTCCAGTGTGCGTCCTGACGTGGTAGGCAGCTTGTTAGCTAAAGGCAGTGTGAGTGCATTAACCCGCACAGCGGTCACAGGCTGGAATTTCTCTGGAGACACACTCAGTTCACGTTTTCTGTATGCCCGGTATCTCTCATAGCATCCCTCTTGTTACACTGCGGAGACAGACGAATGGGACTTTTTGTTAATGCGTTTTAAACGAAAGGTGACAGAGCTGCAGCTTCCCACGCGATTTCCTGGTCGGAGCTCAAGAGTGGGAGCGCGCAGTACGTAGGCATCAGTCTTAAAAAATTACTCTCAGTTGGACTGAGAAGGTGATAGTGGCATAAAGAGAAATGCTACAAGGTTCACTCTTTTCTGGAAGGAGATGAAGGGAGATTACAAGGGAAGAAAATATCTTAAACTGATCACTTAATTTATTGCAGGTTTTCTCTTTTGCTACCATCTTCATGGGAGAGCCATGCTGGATGTTCATGTCCATCAGTTATTGCTATTTGCTATCTTTGGAGCTGCTGTTTGCATATTTCTGGAAGTTTTCTTCCGTGGCAGTATTGTGCTAGAGATGCTCCGTACAAGCCTCTGCATATTACAAGGCAGCTGGTTCTGGCAGGTAGGTCACTTTTCTGCCTTAGGAATTTCTTCTTTCACCAAAACCAGTCATTCACCCCTTTGCAGATGTTTCACAGGTGATATAATATGCCTTTTAAACTCAGACCTCAAAGGACTGGTAGAAAACAATGCACTCTTAATGACCCTTTAAAGAGACAAAAGTATTTATCGTATCTATTTTACAGATGAAGAAGCCGTTTCACTTCTAGTGTCTTTTATTTGAATCAATAAAAAAAGCTAAGGTGGTTTTGTTGAGCTCTCCCTTGTGGCTGAACATCCCCTCTGATCTCTGTAACATCCTCTTCAAAATTCACCAGCCAAATGGCAGTGATTTCACAGCCCAGCAATATATGCTGTTCTTTATGAAGACGGTGCCCCCGTCCCTGTCGGCCGCCGGAGCGGTGAGTAATCGCCCAGCGCAGCAGTGGACAGGTGAGCCAAAGCACCCATTGACATTGCGTGAAGAGGAACGAAGGCGCAAATTATCTTTCGTGTTGGATGCCTCTCTCTACTTTCTAAAAAGCCTTTCAACAGTGGCAACCTCGGGGTAAAAGGTACTTGAGCTCCTGATCTGCACTAAGAGATGGAGTGATGTCACACCTGCTTTTGGAGCGTTCAGGAAATTGAGCAGAAGTAACAGCCCGAAATTTTATAATTCAGGGATGTGGCTCCCAAAAGGACTTTTCAAAATGCCTTGCCTTCACTTACTTGTGATTCTAATCTGATTAATCGATATTTGATAGCGACCCTTTCTCTGCTGTCAAACAAGAGAGAGAATTTAATGAATTGCTGTGATCTTGTAACAAAGAAATAGGAGCGCTAGTGTCGATGTGTGTTTCATCTTATAGTGGAGAACTGAGATCACTCCAGTGATTTTTCTTTCCGGCATGTCTAGACTGGCTTCCCGTTTTTATATGCTGGCCAGACATGATTAACAAAAACGTTTGCTGTTCCTTAGGAGAACTGGACACTCAGCACCAAATCAAATATTTAAATACTTGCTCTGGCAAGCAGACAGACCTCTGAAACGGTGATATTTTTCTATAAGTGAACTCAAGAACCTACTGCTGCAGCACTTGCTGTTTTATTTTCTTGTTTGTAAACTTTTTTTGGGTGATTTACGAAGCTTTACATAAGAGGAGTTAGATGCAACCATTTATTCTTTGTTGTCTGCCTAGTCTAATTTTAGAACAAGTTATTTCTTTAGCTATGGAGACAATGTGGTTTTTGTTTCAAAGTCAAAAATTGAAGAACTAAAAATACAAGAGATTTAAGCATGGCTTTTTTCACACGCCCATCAGACTTCAACCGTGTGTGTGACTGAAAACCACATACTGGTTGCAGCCTGACAAATTTGTAAAAGGTAAAGGGACTTTCTTTCTGCATCATCAACACCCTCATTCATTGAATTCTCTGCATGAAAATGGAAAATGCGCTCCTCCCCTCCTCCTTCTTCTCCTCCTCTAAATTCTCAGCTAAACTGCTGAGTGGTGACTTTGAAGAGTATTAGCCAGTACAGAGGACTGGTGCTTGTCAAGGCAGACCCTCGTGTAGCCATGGGATTACTAGTTTCCCGGTTTATGCCTTAATCTGAATTTGATCTTTCCCAGCTCTGAATAAGCAAATCAGCTACGTATTTCACACAAACTGGGGTGAGAAAGCCCTGGGTGAGAAAGCTCTGTTTTTACGTAATTTCCAAACCTGACCTTTTTCCCGGATGACCCAGCAGGAGTAGACTTATGGCTCGCCTACGTTTAGTAATGTATTACTCATCTTCTGAACCATGTAACACATTCCCAGACGTTGTTGGGAAGGAGTGAGTCCGTGCAAATGGCCAGGCAGGTTTGCTGGTTGCTGATGTGCTTGCAGTTCAGAGCATACATGGCTGAGCACCTGCCCCTTTCCTTACAGTACGTAATTGTGATCGCTGCAAGACTCGTTGGGCCAGCTCCTTAATTCACTGGGCAAGAGCAGGGGGTCTCTGGGACTGGCTCCGCATCCTCAAAGGCATTTCTGCACAAAACTGTGTAAAATGATCCATCGCATCTGAGTGGGACTGCAAAATTAGTTATAGTAATAATCACAGAAATAATCAGCACTATAAGAAAATGAAATGTCTGCCTTGTGATGGGTAGCATAATACAGGATACGTCATAGGATATACGTCAGATGATGTTTGCTAAATATCTTTTATTTTATTTTATTACAGATTGGTTTTGTGCTTTATCCTCCAAATGGGAGCCCAGAGTGGAATCAGACGGATCATACTAATATGATGTTCCTGACCATGTGCTATTGCTGGCATTACGCCTTTGCTTTTCTTATACTCGCAGTGAATTACACAATCGTCAGCTGGTAAGTTACTTCAAACACTAAAATTCTGGAGACCTGTCTATTTAGTCTAGCAGGAGCTTCATTTTAGAAAAGTTTCACTGACAAATCAAACGGCTTCCACAAAGTAATTAATTGTCTTGCACGGTAAAATAAAAATCGATACTGCCTGTCAATGAAGATAACATGACTCATTGCTTCAGTAGAAAGGGGAAAAACAGTCATAAAGTAAGCTCTGACAGCATTATGCTTCTCACATAAAACAAGCTCTTTTTGATAGTCTTCCACATTTGTAAATGCATAAAAAGTTACAAGGAGGAGAGGCCTTCTTTCCC